GTACACTATTTCCATCTTTTGTCATTTTTGTCAATTTTGAATATGTCTCATTTTGATTCTCAATTCTCTTATTATTAGTGATTTGGAGTAATCTTTCACATGGTTGTTAATCATTTATAATTCTTCTTTTGAGAACTGTTTGCTTTTATTCTTTAACTGCTATGCTGTTGAATTTTTTAAACATTTCTATTATATACATATTGACCATTGATAGAAAAATAAACAAAATAAGGAATCAAATCTACATAAAACTGTTAGTTTTAACAAAGTAGACCAAAACAAACTAATACACAATCATTCATTCTGTGCCCTCTTCCAAGTCCACTGGAAGTTCTACTACCTTTGGCTTTATTGTATTTTTAGAAATTAGTTTTAATCAATGTGTATATCGTCAGAGTGACAATTGGCCAATTTTGGCACCCAGGGCAAGTGGCATAAAAAAGTCCCCTCAAATGACAAAAATAAAAATAACTGACATGTATATAATACTTTAAATTTCACAATGCACTTTACACTATCACTTTTGAATTTCGACAACAATCGTGTGAACATTATAGATATTATTAACTTTATATTATAGATGAGGACACAGGCTAAGTGACTTATTCATAGCATGCAGTTAGTTGGTACAGTAGATAGAGCACTGGGCCTGGAGTCAGCAAGACCTGAGTTCAAATGTGACTTTAGACATCTATTAGCAATGTGAATCTGGGCAAGTCACTTAACTATATGCCTCAGTTTCCCCATCTGTAAAATGGGAGTAAAAAGAGCACCTACCTCCCCCCAAAGGAAGGTATGACAAATGGAATATTTGTAAAGCAGTGCTATATAAATTTTTAGCTATTATCATTTTCAATGTGAGAGTCAAGATTTGAACACAGGGGTCCTCATTCCACTAAAGAACATTAATATGTTGAAATAAATTTATCTGGAATAAGGAGGAAGGAGAGTAAGACCCAGAACAATTCGAGGCTATAGCTGGTAAGGCTATTGTCTATAGGAGGAGCAGCAAAGCCTAAACCTTCACCTGCAATATGGCTGTGGTGATGGGGCAAAGGAAGCTGGTAACTATTAACCTGAAAAGCTTCCTATTTTGTGTTATTCTTGCTAACTTGTTACTAAGCTTAATTGTTTCTAGCCACTGACCCAGTACAGATGAATGAAAATATATAAGTGAATGAATGGATGAATGAAGCAAGACAAGTCCTTGCTCTCAAACAGCACATGTTCTAATGGGAGGAGACAATACATATAGGTTTTAGCCATATCAGATGGTAAAATCTTGTGGTCCTTAGGGTGCAAAGCAGATTGTAATGCTTCTTCTTTAATGTCTTTTCCACTGATGAAAATCATATAAGTTTCTGATGCAGAAACATGTGACAGGGTCAAGGACTTTGATGGTGAAAACTTTCTTTTCTGAATCTTCAGTAACTTGGGCTGTAGCTAGTACCTGAAGGAGTGGTTGCTAGGCTGCATCCCCATAGGAGTTGATTCCAAGGATGATGGCTGAGGGTACAGGGCTGGAAGCATTGCTATACCCTAGGTTGTTCTTTTTTTTTTTAAAGACAAAAGAAGTTTATTGGTACCCCAAGGCATCAAATAGTTGGAGTAGGGCTGGCCCTATTCCCCAGGTTCTTGGGTTCAGGGCCCTGGGCCTTTTCGACAGGATAGGAGAAGAGATGTTGGTTAAGGTGCTGCCTCCTCTTTCTCCCTCAGGTGGCCTTGTTCTCACAGTTTGGCTGATTTACCTGCCCTTTGTGCAGTCAATATCCTCCACCCTCATTACATCTCTGTATATGGCCCTGGTTCTACTAATTGCTTTGCATTATTTCAAAAAGATAATTTCTTTTTTTCTCTTATATTCTTTACAGCTATCATTTATAATGTGTCATTGACCTGTTGAACTCAAGTGCAGAACTTATATTTATCCCTATGAGATTTCATCTTGTTTGATTTAATCCATTATTCTTCTAGTCAGTTCTTTCTTCATTTCAATTTTGTTATCCAATGTATTATATAATACATTCTAACACACACTCTAACATATTACATAATACATTGTAATATATGCAGTACATAATACATGTAACATATGATTATAATACTTTGTAACATATGTAACACATTGTAACATATCACATATTGTAACATATATTGTAATATAATACATTGTGCAATATATTGTGATATGTTCTGATATATTGTAATATAACATACATGGAATTTTATCTAATACATTGTAACAGACATTGTATTTTTATCTAATACATTGTAATACATTGTATTTTATCTGAAACATTGTAACATACATTATATGTATTTTTTTATATTGTAATATATATTGTATTTTATCTGAAACATTATGACATACATTATTATATGTATTATTTAATATATAGTAATCTAAAATATTGTCCTTTGTAGATCTGCAGATTTGATAAGCAGGTCATTTCATCATGCCCATTCCTGGTCACATTCAACTAACAGATACATATAACAAATACAATATAATTTGTCAGCCCCATATGGTACCATTCTAATGATCTGTTGGCATGTACCAAGGACAGCAGCCCTAGAATTATGATGTATTGGGAAAAGACCTGGCCTGGGATTCAGGAGAACTAAGTTTTAGTTCAAAATCTGCTATAACTGGGTGACCTGGAATAAATAATTTTCCCTCTCTGTGCCTCAGTTTCTCCAGCTGTAAAACAAGGGAGTTGGATTTGATATCATATGTCCTTTCTGGCTGCTATAACTATAAACTTTTTCTGGCATTGTGCTCAGATCTATGCTTGGTTATGCTAGGTTGTGGCGGTTACAGATTGTAAGACATGGTCCCTATCAAGAAACTTATTTAGATGGGGAGATAAATTAAGAACAAAACAAAACAAAACAAAAAAACAGGCAGCTAGGTGGCAGTGGATAGAGCGATGCACCTGGAGACAGGAAGAGCTGAATTAAAATTCTACTTTTAGACACTAGCTTCATGACCCTGGGCATGTCACTTAACCTATTTGCCTCAGTTTTCTCATCTGTAAAATGAGGGTAATAAAAGCATTTACCTCCCGGGGTTATAATGAGGAGCAAATGAGGCAATATTTATAAAGCAGAACCTTAAGATGCTATCTAAATTCTAGCTGTTATTATAGGGTATGTATGTGTGTGTGTGTGTGTGTGTGTGTGTGTGTGTGTGTGTTAAATGATAGCATTATAAGGGGATCCTCTGAAATCTGACACTGTGTGACCTTGGGCTTGTACCTTCCCCTCTCTTGCCTCATTGCTCTTCCTCTCACAACACTTAACAGTTTTCACTGACTGACCCCCATTAAATTACCTCCCAATTTATCCTGTATATAGCTTGTTTGTACATAGTTGTTCACATGTTGTCTCTCCCCATTATACAGGAAGCTTCTTGGGAGAAGGACTCTTTTCTATTTGTATCTTACATAGTAGGGTACTTAATACTAGCTGACTTATTCTAGAAGTTAGCTTTGCATTTTTACTAGCTTTCCCTCATCCCTGGAAATCTCTCCTTCCTCATCGCTGCCGTCTAGTTTCCCTGGCTTCCTTCAGCTAAAATTTCACCTTCTGTAAGAAGCCTTTCCTGATGCCCCTTAATGTTAGTGCCTTCTCTCTGGGATTTCCCTCAATTTATACTGTCTATATTTGTTTGTACAGAGGCAATTCCAAGTAGCCTCCCTCGATGGATAAGTAAGCTCTTTTACGGGCAAGGACTTTAAAAAATAAATTGTTGTTTTGTCTTTCTTTGTATCTCTAGCGTTTAGCACAGTTCCGGGCACACAGTAGTCGCTTAATAAATGCTTGGTGCCTAGCGTTAGCTTCCCCATCTACAAGATGAGGACAGTGGACTAGAAGGGAAGGTTCTCATCCAGAGCCAACCACTTATTAGTTATACTTTTTAAAACGCCTTTTCTTTGCAAAAGCACTTTGGGGGTAGATTGTGGAAGGACTGCCGCCCCTTGGTTAACAAGGACAGCAGAGGCTCGTCGGGAACGGATGCACCCGGCTCTCCGCAAGCTCCCCGCAGGCTGGAGGGGGCCCGGGGAAAGTGGGACTAGATCGGAGCGTGGCCCGAGCAGAGCAGGCTTAGGCGCCCCTAGCTCGCCGTCCCCGGCGGGGCCGGCGGAACAAAAGGCTCTCCCTCCCCGCCGCCCCGCCCCTTCACCGCCGGGTTTCCTCCTCCTCCTCCTCCCCCTCCAGCTCCTCCTCCAGTTTCCTAGGACTGAGTTAAAGGGTGAGTCTCCAAGGAAGCGCTCTCTCCCGTCGGCCGTCTCCCCGGCCTTCCCCCGCCCCTTCCTCTGCTCCCTCCCTCCTACCCCGTTCCCTCGTGGGTTTACGCCGAGCCAAACAACCTCGGGGCACTAAGCGGCATGTCCCACTAAGTGACAACAAAGGCCACGAACGGCCCAGATGCCCCGGGCCGCAGTCTCCGGGGCATCTTCCCCGCGTTCCCTGGCTTCTTGCCAGGCAGTATTAGCATCCGCAGGGTTGGGAGCTCGGAGCGGCAGCGTCGGGCGGCCGCCCGGCGTTATGGATACCGCGCCGCCCCGCCTCAGGAGCTGCTCTCCCCCCCGAGCAGCGCTCCCCCGCCCACCCCGAATGTGGCCGGCCGGGGCTTGGCTGCAGTGCGATGCTGCACGCACCTAGCCGAGCCCTGGCACCTTCTCGGCCTCGCTGGCCCAGGATGGCCCCACATGCATTGTTCCCTTGCCGTACCCCGGTCACCCGCCCCCTGTCTCATCGGGGTCCGGCTCAGTACCCCACGTCGCTGGCTCTGGTGCTCCTTTAAGAAACCCAGCCGGGGCCGGAGGAGGGCGAGTGGGCGGGGCCCGGAGAGGACTCCGGCTGAGGTGATTGGCTGGAGGGAGAGGCGGAGTTCCAGACGCCAGCGCGGCCCAAGGAAGAAAGGGCTAAGGATGGCGTAGGGGGGGGCTGAGGCAGCGGGTGCTGATTGGTTACCGCGACCGCGAGCGGCGGGTAGTCACGTGACGCGACGGCTGGGGCTCCCGGCGCGGGGGACGCTGGTGGCCAAGATGGCGGCGGAGCTGGTGGAGGCCAAAGTAAGTGAGCGAGAGGCTCGAGGGGGGGCGGGGGCGGGACGCGGGGCTACCCGGAGGCAGGCTCAAAAGGGAGGCTGGTGGGGGGGAGCGGGGGCGGCTGGGCCTCGGTCTTAGACTCTTATTGGGCCTCCTCCGCCCCCCGACTCTGGGCGCCGGGGCGGTGGCCTGCCTAGGCCGTCCTGCCGTCCTGGAGCCCGGGACGCCGCTACCGCTGACGCCCCCTCCCCCGCTGCGGCCGGTTCCCCGCTTCCCCGGCCTGGCTTCCTCGCCTCCTGGAAGCTGGAGCCACCACCTCTCCCCCCGCAGTCGCCGGCCCCTACCCCCACCCTGACCCCGGTTCACCCCTCCCCCGCCCCCAGCAAGAACCCCTCCCCCTCCGGGGCTGGCAGCTCCCGCCCCTCCCCCACTCGCCCCCCGAACTGCTCCCCCCACCCCTCTCAACCTCCGACCCGACGCCTGCTCCTTCCTTCCGTAGTTACCCTGACACCCCCAACTGCCCCCTTGGGACAGGTGTTTCCTATGTCCAGGATTTGACACCCCCCCACTATTTTTGGACCCCCCCTTTCTTTTTTCCTAGAATATTGTCTTCCACTTGGGGGGTCATACAGCCTTTAGTCCCCGCCCCCCCCACTCTCCTGGGACTGGTTGCATCCCATTCCCAAGTCTTCTCCCTTCAGTTCTGGTCTTTTCCTAGAACAGGTTGCATCCCATTGGGAGGCTTGCTCTTCTCTCCTCGACAGGTTCCCCGATTTCCTGGGCTGACTTTTTTCTCTTAGTCCTTCTTTTCTTGGACAGGATGCTTACTATTTCTTGGAATATTTCTTGGAACCAGTTGCTCCCAAGGTTGGGGGGGGAGAGGTTACCTCTCCTTCCTTCTGTCCCTAGGGCATCATCCCTGCTGGTGTCACCTGTAACTGTCTTCAGCTACTTTGGTAGAGAGTTGATGGGGAAGACTGGGGCTGTTTGATTTTTGATGTTAAGTGTGAAGTTTGGGAGTTTATGTTTCTGACTCCACTCCCTCCCACCCCATTTCTTCTTCCCATCCCATCGAGAAATTGTGTACAGGGCTTCTCTCGTTTTCTACTAGATTATAAACTCTTGAGGGGGTGGCAGGAACTTTTTAATTTGTTTTTGTTTCCTTTAGTTTTTGAGCAATAGTCTACTACCTAGCTATCATTGTATTTCTTTTTTTGTCTCCCTGGGTACCTTCAGTTTTATAGGTTTGCGAAAACCAAAGCAGAACTGCCATATCTATAACTTAGCAGAGGTGTCAGAAAAGCACAAAACTAAAAAGTGTGCTTACCAGATTAAAATGTAAATTGGGAAATGTTTAACAAAATTAATAAAAATACAGTACAACATAGATGATGTTAATTAATGGTTTTCCAAATCATTTTGTGGCCTCCTGGAATACATTTCTATTTGAATTTAACCAACCTATCTTAAATATTTAAGAGAGTTTGCCTGGGTCACTTAGTTGGACCGAGGCTCTTCCTATTTCAAAATTAGCTCCCTATCCACTACACTGTTACTTTTCTAGCTCATAATTATTTAATATTTATTGTATTAAATATTTTTACAGATCAGGATCAGACTTCTAAATTTTTCCTTTATGAAGCACAAAAAAGTGTTGTCATAATCTCCGAAGAAGATTTAGGGCTACATTAAACACCTTTCTCCCTACTTCCCCCCCCAAAAAAAAAAGATTAAAAAGCCTAGGAGAGAATGCTTTTTAAGTTCTCTTGGCCATTGTGAGACTTGGCTTGCTACTCCACCAATCAAGGCTGAAATTCAGTCTGTGGGGGGAGTATTGTGTATCAAGGAAGATAAACTTCTAACAAGATAGGGAATTGAATTTTAAGATTAGGCTACTTACCTGTAGTGCAGTGACACTGTGCAGAGTTTTCTGATGCTTTTGATGTGGACTAACCAGAGCCAGAAATGATTTATAATGGGGATGGAGGTGGGTCTTTTACCTTTGCTGGTGTTTTGGGGTTTTGATTTGTTTGGTTTTTTGGTCACTTTTCTCTCCTCACTTTCTTCCCCCATCTTCCTTATGTCTGGAGGAAGACTGGGTTGTAGTAATAGCTACTGAGTAAAGAGCGCCTAATAATCAACAGTTCAATTCGAGAAGTATTTATTAAGCATCTTCTACCGTGTGCCTGGAGCTGTCTCCATGTCTGGAATATACATGCTCCTTCCTCAACTACTGCTTTCTTTAAGATACTTGGTATGTACTTAGATGTGCACAAGTAGTTTCCCCAATAGAATTTAAGCTCTCTGTGGGCAGTGAATGATTTACTTTTTGTATCCCTGGTGGCTAGTTCATTGCCTGGTACATTGCAGGTGGTTGAAAAATCCTTGTTGATTGATCAGCTGTCACTGTTAGGCAATGTGGATCCAAAAATCTGCTCCTAAGGAGCTTCGGTTCTACTGAGAGAAATAAGTAAGACAAAGATAAATGAGTAGATACCAAATTATTTGGAGAAATGGGGAAATTCCTCCCATGGGCCTTTAGTGAAACTAGGAATTTCAGAAGGAGATGAGGAGGGGAATATTCTAGGTATGGAGAAGAGTCACTAATGGGATAAAATGTTGTTTAGGAAATAGCAGAAAGGCCAGTTTGTCTGGAATGTATAAAGGGGAATAATATGAAATGACTGAAGAGGTAGATTGGAGCTGGATGGCACAGGCCAAACGGTTGATATTTTATCCTAGATGCAGTGGAGAGCCGCTGAAGCTTCTTGAGCAAGGGAGATTTAAGATGTCCCAAGATCATCATTGAGAGCTCTTTTATCTTGGTCTGGGTTGATAGGCAGGCTCTTTTGAGAGCGTCTGGACGATATCAATAATAAGTTATACTTAAATTATTCTTTAAGGCTTATATAATTTCCTTTGTAATCTTTTTTCATACTCAGTGAGCAAAGGGCTAGTCTCCATTTGTTACTACTCTATCTTCAACAATGACATAGCCCTTTCCCTCTAAGAGCCTGGGTCTATTCCAAGAGGCCTGTTCTTGCCTACAAGCAGTTTGGGAAACCTTTCTGTTACATTATCCATCTGCCCAGTATTATCAATGTGGTGTTCTCCATATTCAGATGTGAGTTAGCCACATATCTGAATGGGCCTTTTCTTTGTAGCTACCTCCACAGATAACCACAGAGTGGTTATTGCTAGTGCAGTTCTGCTTGTCCATAAGTGTCCTACCCATTTGAGGGATACAGGATTTCAGGTAACTGGACCAGAGTTGACTATTTAGAGCAGAGGCTTTTAACCTTTATTGTGTCGTGAGCTCCTTTGGCAGTGTGTTGAAACCTGTGAGCCCTTAGAATAATGTTTAGAATCATTGTTAGAACAGTGTTTGTAAATGTGTAAAGTAAAACACATAGAATTACAAAAGAAGTCAGGTATATCAAAATGTAAAATAAAGAGTTAGCAGACCACAGATTAAAACTCCTCACAGAGAACTAGAACACAAAACATATTTTAAATTGTTCTTTTTGTTTCACACACCCCAAAATTTCATTTACCTGGTGCTTTTAAGATTTACAAAGTATTTTCCTCCTCATAACTCTTTAAAACTGAAGAGCTCTAGGCATTATCTTGAACAAATCTTTTTGCATTTGTATTGATACTATAGCACCATCTACCAGGTGGCCTCGAGGCCACATGTGGCCCTTTAGGTCTTCACGTATGGCCCTTTGAGTCCAAGTTTTACAGAACAAATCCTTTTCTTAAAGGGATTTGTTCTGTGAAGTTTGGATTCAGTCAAAGAGCCACCCGTGAGGACCTAAAGGACCACATGTGGCCTTGAGGCCACAGGTTCCCCACCCCTGGCCTAGACTGTAATTCTAGTCTCTTGACTCCTGGTCCATCTTCTTCCTATTATAATACAAAGCTATTTATTAAACTAGATGTAGAAATATATTAATTCAGGCTTGAGCTTGTTTATTTAAATAATCAGAAATTGGAAATATATTTTCTGATGGAGTTGACTTTGTATAAGCATCATTGCCTATGTTCCTAGCAAACCAAAACTGAGTCAGAATGGTAAAGTACTAGTAAAGTGGTATATTTCTCTTGAGTTCTTGTGGTCATCTAGTTGAATTCTCACTTCCTTGACCCCTCTACCATGTGTTTTCAATTCTCCAAATTTCCATCATATTTCATTCCCCATGGCTAACTTTGAATATTACAGAGAATGTGTATAGTCTTTGACTATTAGTATTTAATAACTCTTATTAACTCCATTTTACTAAAAACTGGAAGATACTTCTCTGATAACGTAAACTGTTACAATCTACTGATCTGATTTTGTATGCTTTTTCCTCTTTAATGATGCCAGATAAATACATTGGACTATCACAGAGTTGTGTATGAGTTGTTCATGGCTGCAGTTCTTTTCAGAAGGCAACTACTGTGGTCTAATGAACAATATTCATTAAGTATCTACTATGATCTTACATAAATGTAAGATGTGTCTGGGAATACAAGACGGTTAAACACAAAGAACTATTGTTCAGAGGCATAGAGAATAAGTGCTATAAGTTCAGAGTGGGGGGGGAGGGAGAGAGAGAGGAGTGAGGAGAGGAGATCACTGGGTGGGAAGGGAGTCAGGGACAATTTAGTGGAAGATAGGGTTCTTGAGATGGAACATAGAAGATAGATAGGAGAAGAAATGGGAGATGTACTCAGGGTAGAGAGGATGGCCTGGGCAAAGGTAAGGATGTGGTTTAGTGACTGGAGTAAGGGAATAGGACAAAGGATGGAAAGATATCTGCCTTCTAAGCAACTTCCTGTCCCAAGTGGAGGGTGAAGACAGGACTAGATGAGGGTGTCTGATGAGTTCAGAAGAGTAGGTGTTGCATTGAGAGCGTTTTTCATTTCAGCACTTTGAAACCTGGCCTGCCAGATTATAGGAATGCTTTTAGATTTCACTGGTTGTTCCTAATTTTAAGACTTTTCTCCCCCCCATGGTTGCTCTTCTTTAGAACATGGTGATGAGTTTTAGAGTCTCCGATCTCCAGATGCTTCTTGGTTTTGTTGGCCGAAGTAAGAGTGGACTTAAACATGAACTTGTCACCAGGGCACTACAGCTTGTTCAGTTTGACTGCAGCCCTGAAGTCTTCAAGAAAATTAAGGAACTCTATGAGACTCGATATGCCAAGAAGAGCTCTGACCCTGTACAACCCCACCGGCCTTTGGACCCGCTCTCCATACATTCTTCCTATGACCGGGGAAGTACTGTCCCCAGGACTTCTATTTCTACTCCCAACATTGACTATCCTGTGCTATATGGGAAATACCTAAATGGACTTGGACGATTACCCTCTAAAGTTGTCAAGCCAGAAGTCCGCCTGGTGAAACTGCCCTTCTTTAATATCTTGGATGAATTGCTGAAGCCCACAGAGTTAGGTGAGTCTTTTGAGTGAGGCAGGCTTTGAGCCTGTGATGTGTATGGAGATTGTGTGTGTGTGTGTGTGTGTGTGTGTATGTATGTGTGTGTGTTTAAAAACAAATATTTTAAGAATTAAACTTTAAGGCCCTTTATGTTCAAATTCCCTATGGGCTTAACCTTGTCCAGATCCTCTCTGCACTCATGAAGGCATCTTTGCCCTACAGTGAGGTGAAATTAGAGTAATGGCCTTCTGCAAATGTTTATATGTAGACCTCAGATCTTCCTTTTCCAACTTTGGTCCAGGGGTTGGCAACCTTTGGCCCTACAAACCTATTTTCAGTAGTATGTGGGTTGGTTGCCTACACTACATGAGAACTGCCACCTGCCTCCAGAGTGGGCACAGTAGCAGTTGTTCTTCCTTGCCAGCCCTTGAGAAAAAACGGGGGGGGGGGTCCAGAATTTTGCCACATCACTTTTTAAAGAAGTTGTCAAAACTGATCACCTACTATAGTCTCTTCAAAGTGAAGAACCTTTCTTTTTGTTGTTCATTTGTTTTCTTGTTCTACTCCTTTTAGATACTGTTTATATCTGTTAATTTTTCACGCTGTCTATACCATACATCATATCCTGTTAGGCAACCAGAAATCTAGAGGTAAAGAAAAAACCTCTAAGAGTTGCCCTTGAATAAAGTTGCTAGGTTTCCAACTCTTAGTTTCTCAACTACCAGTTGACTGTCTGTTCTTCAGAGACCAACTAGTGTGTTAGAAATAAAAGGATAAATCATGAACACTTTTTTCTCACAAACTTAAGTGAAGAATGGATAATAATAATTAGAGTCTAAGACTTCATATTATTGGATGGTAAGAAAAATGTGTGCATGTGTGTCTGTGTCTGTCTGCCCCCCCCATTCTCTTAACTGAATGTACCAGTGAAATAATTTTTAAGATGGGGTGTTGATTTTGAGTGAACATGGAAGAAGGAGGTAATTGATTGACAGTGGAAGGAGAGTAGAATCAGTCTTTGAACATGGTGTTTGCTCTCATAAATTTTGGTATGCAATGTCCCAGCTGGCCTAAAACAGATTGGTTCAAAATGCTAGTATGTTATCATAATTTAAACTGAAAGGACTCAACCTTCTTTTTCTTAAGTTTTTCTTCTGCTTTCCATAATTTCTCCTATACTTTCCCAATTTTCAAACACATAGTTGTTGTATTATAGAAAGCTTTTCCTCATTAGGCTTTTCCTGTCTCCCCACCTTATGCAAGGGACAAAATTTTTTTTAGTTCACTACTTTGAGGATGATTTGATTCAGGATTTGAGCACTTTGAAATTATAGGGAAGAGGGATTTTATCATCCCTATTTCTCTTAGTCTTAGGCTGGCAGAATTTGAAAGTAGAACATATTTTTTAAAAAGGCTTGAGTTGATGAAAGAGCAAGATAACTTTGAAGGTGGGCTTACATTAATGAGAAACTACTAGATTAAATTATGTTGGTGGTAAATTTGAATTTGGTACAGGCAAGGCTATCTATATAGTACTTGGGAAAATGTTCAGCTCCCTAGCACCAGAGTTTTTCAAACTTGTGGAGTTATCCTTCCACAGTGCATCCTTTTTTGCTACCTCTGAAGGTGTCCCTACCCCATCATCTCTGGGAAGATAGAGCCTTTGGTCTGTACTAAGAATTATACTTCTGGTTCTAAAAAATTCTTCTTTTCTTCCTAAAACCCACACAACTTTGTTTTAACGTTGGTCAGCAGCAAGCATTTTTAATTACCTTATATGTGCCAGGCATTGTGCTGGGTGCTGGGGATACAAGTACAAAAAATGAAAGAGCTTAAATTTTAATGGCAAAGACAAGTATGTATAGAAGTATATGAAGCATAAATGTAGAATGAATAAAAGCAAATAAATAAAATAATTAAATACAAGGTAGTTCAGGAGGGAGGGCTCTAATGAGCACTTTGGGGGATCAGGAAAGGCATACAGAAGGTGGTAATTGAGCTGCATCTTAAAGGAAGAGAAGAATGTTGAGTCGCACGTTAGGGAGGAGTGAATTCCGGGCATGGTGGTGGATGGTCAGTGCAGTGGAGATAGAGTGACAGGTGATGAGAGCAGAGAAGGCCAGATCACAGCATGCAGGAGGGGGAGTCGTATCTGATGAGGCTGGAAAAGAGGTTTGGGCTAGGATATAAAGGTAGGGAGCTGGGTTATAAAGGGCTTAGAATGCCAAACAGCATTTTGTATTTGATCCTGAAGTCAATAGGGAGCCAGTGGAGTTTATTGAGTAGTAGGGGTGACATAGTCAGACCTGCACTTTAGTGGCTGAATAGAGGATAGATTGGAGTGAGGACAAGAGTTGAGGCAGGAAGACCCACCATCAGACTATTTATTGCAATAATCCATGCATGAGGTGATGAAGGCCTGCGCTAGTGATAGCAGTGTCAGAGGAGGGGGGCGGGGAATATTTGCGAGGTGTTGCAAAGGTAAAATGGACAGGCCTTGGTAACAGATTAGGTATGAGGGGTGAGCTGTAGTGAGGATTCCAGATTGACTCCTAGGTTACAAGCCTAAGGGATTGGAAGGATGGCATAGCGCTCTATAGTAATAGGGAAGAGGGAGGATTTAAGGGAAAAGCTAGTGAATTCCGTTTTGGACTTAATTGAGTTTAAAATGTCTACTAGATATCCAGTTTAAGATAATTTGAAAAACAGTTTGGAGATTCAGAGATTGGAATTTGGGGCAGAATAGATAGATTTTGAGAATCATCATCATAGAGATAGTAAGTCAGTCCATGGGAGCTAATAAGATTACCAAGTGAAGTAGTATAGAAAAGAGATAGGATAGAACTCTGTGGGACACCCACTATTAGTGGGCATGCTCTGGAAGAGAATCTAGCAAAGGAGAGAACCAGGAGAGAATGGTGTCCTGAAAACCCAAAGAGAAGAGTGTTGAAGAGGAGAGTGTGATCAGCAGTGTCAGAGGCTGCAGAGAAGCCAAGGAGAATGCTACTGAGAAAAGGCCTTTGGATTTGGCAGTCAAGAGATCATTAGTAACTTTTGAAAGAGGAGTTTTGTTGGAATGGTAAGGTTGGAAGCCAGATTGTAAGAAGTTAAGTGAATGAAGGCACCTGCTGAAGAGATACAGGTAGCAGGATGGAAGGATCAAGTGAGGCTTGAAGATTCCATAGGGGGTGATTACTGAGGATATATTCTGCCAGAGAATATGGGAGGAGTGATGGGATCAAGTGTAGATGTAGAGGAACTGGCGTGGAGAAAGGCCATCTCTTGTTAGAAACTGAAGGAAAGGATTTTGTCCCAAAAACCTTGGACCAAACCAGTTTAGAGTAGCAGTTAGCTGCTATTCTCAAAGATGAGTGAAATGAATCTGCCCTTCCAGCTGAGGTATCAGAGAAGGTTGAAGTATGCTGAGAATTTTGCCCCATAGAATTGGATTTGAGATGGGTCTTGAAGAGTTAAACCAATAGAAATCTCCTAAGGAGACAGTCAGTGAAATGGGCAAGGAATACAGCATGGTATTGTAGAGGGGGAGAGCTTGGTTTGGAATCGGGGTTTGAATCCTTTTTCTGCCATGTTACTGTCTGTGTAATCTTCATCTGAAGAATGAGGGGGTTGGATAAAATGAATCTGAATCCTGTGCATTGTTGTGTTTTAAATTTTATTGCTATCTTTTATTTTTATATCATCTTCATGTCAAATATATCCTTCCTCGTTCCATTCTCTACAGAGTTGTATCTCTAAAGGAGGGAGGGGGGAGAAGCAGTTTAGTAGAACTAAGAAAGCACATCACCTGAATGTAGTGTTCCATATCCATAGTCCTTTACCCTCAGCCCTGCCAAAAAAAGGGGGGCGGAGGAAGGTGCCTATACCTCATTTCTTCTGTGGGGCTCAGCTTGGTCATTATGTTTACACAGGAAGGCTAAATGTTATGATTACCAATGGAGAGGAGAAGAAATGTACCTTCTCTCTTTCCCTGATGAGGACTATCACTGTGGAATGTTAGATGTGCTCTCAGCTATGGTTGCTGAGGTTGATTTTGCTTTTTCTTTGTTACAAGGAAAGGCTCACTAAGTGATGCCTGGGGGATTATATATGGAAATGACTGAGATTTTTATAAAGACATCAAAACTTTTAAAAGGGTGGAAGGAGATTGAACTAGGTCTCTAAGGTCCTTTCCAGCTTTAAATCATAGGGTGATGTGACACTCGGTTACCTGTTTTTTCTAAAACTAAAAAGCCATTTTTATCACAGCTCTGACTAAGAAGCAGTTTTCCTGAGTGTCTCCCAACACCATCCTTTGCCATCAGGTGTTGGATCCACCATCCTGCATTGTTGGCACCTTGTATTAGTTCTTTTGTAATAACAGAGGAGAGAAGAGGCTTTGCCTTCCATTTGTCTCCTCTGCACTTGCCTGCTGCTAGCAATCTGGTGAAACATCCAGTACTCCTGAGTGGTCGTGTTCTTCTGAAGGGCAGGCCGCCATAGATGGATCCCTGATGGAGAATGTCCTGGCAGAGAGGAAACATAAATCAAATAGAATGCAGTGCTTGATGCTGGGGGGGATGAGGAGGCCACAAGAGAGAAGAGAAAAACATCAGAGCTGAAAGGAAACTGGCTCATCTAGTCCATCATCCTCCTTTAACACATTAAAAAACGGAGGCTTAAAGAAATAGAGAAACTTAACCAAGGTGTTCTAAGCTGTCAGTGACAAGAGCTCTGACTAGAACCTGGGTTACACAATTCAACGGGTTTTTAGCGATACCATACTGCTTCTAAATACCTAGTTGCTCGTTGTTTGCATTTTTCATTGGCTTCCTTCTCTTCTCTCCCATCCCCCAACTTCTTAAATTGCTAACCAGACTGTACAGTTTACTCTCAAATATGTGATAAGAATCACCTGATTGTGATAACACAATGACATGATTGAAGATAATTTATTTTGATTCATGGCCCTTACTGCCACAAAATAAGCATTTGGCCTGCTAGTTGATCCCAGTTGGTTCCTCTAAATTAGTGCTCCTGTCTTCAGCCCTCATCAGATGCCCTGGAGAAGCTTGTGCATTTCCCTCATTCCCACCCAAAATAGTTTTGGCCAGCTGGGTGGGGCTGCAGAGCAAAGGGTATTTTCTTCTTGAGCTCAGCATGTACTCAGGGAGCATGGAATATGATAGGTATCATCATTCCCACTTTATAGCTCCGTCTTTGGAGTTTTCAGCTTCTGGCTTTAAGATTTGAACATATCGAGCCAGTCTCTCTTCTCCTTAGTGTTCCAGTCCCACATCATAGTTTACATTCCTAGTGTTCAGCACCCCTGTGGGGCCTGACTTGAGAAAGAGATGCTAAGAGAATGGAGGATCTATGAGGGAGGTTAGGCCTTCCCTTAAAGATCCTTTGTTTTGTTTGGGCTGGGAACTACCTCTCCCAATACACATTGTAATCCACTTATTAATTAAATAATCTTTGAGTAACCTAAGACTGAGAGAGGTTAACACACAGCACTCACAGAGGGATTTGAGCCCATATCTCCTAGTCTGTTATGTCCCGTTAGCCCTTATCAGTAGAGTAATAGGAAGAATATTTAGTTCAGTAAAAAGTTCATTATGAGGTGGGATCCTAGGTCTGTGAAGATAAAGAAATCAGAGGTGAGAAGCCTGCCCTCAGGAAGAACTCTAGTTTAAAGAGAAGATATATACGTTAAGATATCTGTTCAGTTGTTTTGCAGTCATGTCTGACTGTTCCTGACCCCACCAGGGTTTCCTTGGTAGAGATATTGGAGTGGTTTGCCATTTTGTTCTCCAGCTCATTTTACAGATGAGGAAACTGCGGCAAACAGGGTTAACTTACTTGCTCAGGGCCAGATTTGAATTCCGGAAGATGAGTCTTCCCAACCTCAGGCCCAGTGCTCTATCCACTGCACCACCCAGCTGCCCATACTTTAAGATAGGATAGTAATTTAAAGCTGAAAAATACCATAGGACCCTTGGGTCCTACTTTCTTATTTTACGAAAGAAAACAAATAAACCTGATGCTCAGAGAGGCCATGTACACTTAACCAGGTCACACAGCTGATTCAGAGCACAAGTAGAATTTGAACCCCCTAGTCCTCCAACTCCAAATGAAGTGTCCATTCCACTTTACCATGCTGCCTTTTATATGCTAGCCCCAAAGAGTAATACCAGAAGCTGTAGAGCAAGTTGGAGAGGAGTGTGGTCAGAGAAGACTTCACAGAGGCAATGAAACTTGTTGGACTTTGAGAATTCATCAGGTTTAGGTAAATGAAGATTAGGACACCTTTTAGCAGGAAAAGGAAGTTAAAGCCTCATCCTTTAAGGCCCGGTTATCAGTTCCATGAAGCTGCTTCCAGTGTGTTTTATCACCACCTTAACGTCCTTTCCCCTCAAGTTGCGAGTATCTTCTCACTTTTTTTGACATTGAAGAGCCCTTTATTTTTGTCTTTCTAACACGTTTTGAAATTCTACTTTTGTAATATAGTTTTGTGTGTGTGTGTGTGTGTTTATCTTATCCTCTATTCAGTTCTTGAGGTAAAAAACCATGTGTTCTTTATATAGTTAACACAGTAGGTACTTTAAAATGTTTCAGTTAGTACATTCTCTCCAAACTACTGTAGTTCATAAAAAAATTCCTGGAATTTTTAACCAACATTTTATTAAAGGGTCAGAACCTGAATATGAGTTCCAAGATGGGAAACTAGCCATTGATGTTTGTAGCCAAGTAAAAGTTTTACCTCATTAGAGTAATAAGTTTTGAATTTGGGGGAAAGAGGAGGTCAAATAGAACCAAATGAGTGAGCATCTCAGAACTTGATTTCAGGAGTCCAGGGAACTTGACCAGTGGTAGAGAAGCCACATGTAGTTTGAAGAGGGGATTGAAGAGACTGAGGAAGTATGCAAACAAAGGCCTATTTAAATCATATAAAAATGATTTATAGGGAGAGAAGCTAGTAGAGAAATCGAGAAGAAAATCACCATCACAAATGGTGACTAGGGCCTGGCTAAGGATCTTGGCAATGGAAGGGCAGGCAGAATTTAAGAGACAGTAACAAAAGAAAAAAATCCTAGGAGGTGATCTTGAGTAGCAGAAAGACATTTTAGGAAACAAACATATTAAAAAATGTTAACATCTTTGCAACATTGAGAATCCGTCCTAAGCTTCTTATCTCTTGCATGCCTTGTATATATTGGTATATAAATTCACTCTGGTAGCAAATTTATTGAAAGCTAGATCCAGAAAGCAGAAGTCTCCATTGATTTGATCACTAAATGGCAGCTGTATGGCCTGTGCACTGTAGGGATGTTGCTAAAGGTAACGACAGCTACTTACAAGCCCCATACTTGATTTCTTTATCAACACCCTTGGAAGATCTTAACTCTTAAATAGCTTCTTTCCTCAAAGGTGTTTGGGACTCCAGTCTAGAATAGTATCTATATGAGGTTGGGGACTGTCAGGAGATAAAAACAAATAACCTGGCTTTCTGGAACTTCTCACCAACATCATATTGTAGAAGGGTCACTGGTTTACATGCAAGACCTGACTTCTGGCTCTTTCTTAGATTCAGAGATCTGCCCCAGACTTGCTGTGTGACTGCTAGCAACGTCTCTCCGCCTCTATTGGCCTTAATGTCATCTGTTATAAAAATCAGATTGGTCTCAGGGGTGGTCTCAGAGGCTACAAGTTCGCCACTCCTGGGGTCCATGAATTGAAAAAACAAATTGATGACTGTATTTCAATATAATTAGTTTTCTTTGTAATTCTGTGGATTTTGTTTCATGCATTTAAAAATGTTGTTTTGAAGAGGGATCAATAAGACTTCATGGGACTGCCAGAAGGGTCCATAATGCAGAGTTGAAGAAACTCTGGTCTAGGTGATGTCTGAGGATTTTTCTGACTTTCATGTTTCTTTGATCCTGAGATAACCCTATGAGTAGATTTTATGACATCTTATTTTACAGGAAATTTAAGTTAGTTAGTTGTAACTCCATAGGTTGATGACACCTTGTTTTGGGAAGAGTAAGAGACTTTAGGACCAAACTTTGACTCCTCAGATGTGCTTCAGAGGAGTAAACTTAGGGGATTCTTAGTGATTCAGATTTCTGAGTGTGAATAGCCAGCCATCTTGTTGCTTCCTTGCATTCATGACCTTGTAGAAATTAGAAATCTGAAATTCATAAACAGTTGCTAGCTGAGTGGGCTTATGGGTGAATGTCAGATATCTCCCCTTCTATTCTCAGCTGTTACCAAGAAACAAGAAACTTTCAGGGGAGGAAATGAAGTTCCTTGCCCTTCACCATTTTCAGTACCTGGCTCTGGCTTCTACCCTGCCATTTCTCCTGACCCCATGTGTGCCACCTCTTTTCTTCCTTTTCCCCACGTTTTCCTGATAATCAACATCTGCAGAAGAAACTGAACTGGTTTTGGCCAGAAAATTGCTTGAATCGTATAGTGCTGAAAGAAGACTGGAAGAATCAAAACCCTCACTGTCATTTTGTAGATGACTGACTGATATCCTACTAGACAGAAAATACCTGGCCCTCTGAGGATCCCTCTTGCTCCTTTTCAGCTCTAGACCGTTGTTTTTTTTATTGCCTGTATCACGGGATAATGAAAAAAGAGCTTAATTTAGAGTCAAAAGCCCTGCCTGAGTTTTCCATCTACTTACTGGTTGTGTGACCTTGAACAAGTCACAGCTTCTCTTGACTTCAGTTTCCTCATCTATAAAATTAGGGGATTGGACTAAATTGTCCTTAAAATCCCGTGTATTTGAGGGAAAGGTTTCAGTTGCTGCAGAGAAAGTTTTTTTTTTCTTCCTTCTCCTGGTTCAGGAGTTTGCAGTTGACAGAAGGCCAAACCTTGTTTTGGAGGGCAGAAAACCCCCTAGCCATGTGTTCGGGTCCAGTGGCAAAATGAGGAGATTGAGAGAATGTCCATAGTCATACTATCTAACCCCTGAAGCAAGGGGCCCCTGTATCATAGTCCTGAGAGTTTAGTCATCTAACCTCTGCTTAACCTCTCCCTGTCTCCCGAGGCAGTCCATTCCATTGTTAGCTCTGAGTGTTAGGAGGGTTTTCCCTTTATGTTGACCTGAAATTTCTGGGTCTTCCACTCTGGGGTTCAAGTTCAGCCTTTTGTGGGCAGGCAGGACAACAGCCAGCAGATGTGTGCAGTGCGCTGGTAGGTGGGAGTTGTTCCTTCACGTGACAGCGCTCAGAGCCTCCTTCACAGCAGCTGTTCTGCAAAGGAAGCCTCTCCAACTCCTTTGACTGATCCTCATACAGTATAATCCCAAGGCCTCCTCAAAATCCTGATCGCCTTTCTCTGCATACACTGCAGTTTGTCAGGGTCCTTAAAATGTGACTTGTAGAACGAAGATGACATTGTGGCTTTGGTCTGACCAGGGTGGAAATTAGCAGGACGAGCAAGCTCTCCTTCTAGCACACCAGATTTCTGTTAATGTAACGAGTACCAGTAACTGTGTTATCTGGTTTGCCGTAAGAAAGTGTTGGGATTTTTTCCCCTTAATTTCTTTCCTGTTTGTCCTGAGATTCTTCTCCATCTAATTCTCTAGTACCTAGCCTAGTCTGTTTCCTCTTTCAGGATCTACAAGTTTTAGTGCACAGAAACTTAATTATCAGCCTGCTTGGTGTTGAAAAATAAAACCTCTTCTCTGCCTTCAGTCCCACAGAATAGTGAGAAGCTGCAGGAGAGCCCATGCATTTTTGCGTTGACGCCGAGACAAGTGGAACTGATCAGAAACTCCAGGTACATTTACCTCACTCATCACCTTCCTGCCTACATTTAGGGTTCTCCTCCCTGAGTCATTTAACTCCATAGCACCATGAGAAGTAAGAGAAAACTGGACTATTTTATGTTGTTTCAGGCTTCTGTCCTATCTCATAAGATAGTGATCTCTAGATGTTACTAAACATGACCCATAGTTCTAGAGGAACTTCCTAGAATACCTCTGTCCCATTTTATACCCATTAATAAAGCTCAGAAGTTGATGTTGGAAAAGGGAAAGTCACAGGTTTCTGAAACTGGCAGGAATCCCTCCCCACTCACCTTACCGCACTGTCACACACATGATGTTATAGAGAAGAAGACTATGGTCCAGAGGAGGTGATCAGTTTTTGACATGATGGTAAGTAGCAGGGCCAGGGATTCAAATAAAGTCTAGTGCTCTTTGCCCTGTCTACTGTTAGCCTGCTGGTCCCTCTTACAAAAGCATTGATAAGAAAAACAACTGGTATTTTTTTTGGCTTTAGCCTTATGAAGCACTTACCTTACAACTATGAGGTCAGTGATACAGATATTACTATCCTCAATTACAGGTGAGGAAATTAAAACTCATAGTGGCAAAGTTTCTTGCCCAGAGTTTCAAAATGAGTAAGCTTCAGAGCCAGGACAGAAGCCTAGCTTTTGCCTCCAAATCCAGCACTCTTCCCTTTAGACCATAAGAGCTAATTAAAGGGTGGTCTTCAGATTAGAGCTCATTGTTGTTAGTGGAATCGTGGGATTTAAGCTCAAAGGATACCTAGTTCAATACCTTTAACCTATAAAAGGAAACTGAGGTCCACAGATGGGGAAATCATGTTGGTGCTATAGCAGAGCTGGGATATTAATCCAGGTTTTCTGATTAGAAATCCAACAATTTTTCCACTACAACTTGTGACCCTTGTGATCCAGTTACAAAAGGGATTGGCTCTACCTGAGGGACCAGAGAGCCGCTGGGAATAAAAAGCCCAGAACGATGAACTCTTTAGGCCCGTTCCCAGGAAGAGTTGGTATCTGAATACAGTGTGCTATAGCCCTAATACTTTTGAACTGAGTCCTAGGCCTCACTGTAACATCTCTCAGTGCAGTTTTTTTTTTTAAACAAAGGTATATTTGCTGTGAAGATACACCAAAAATAGAAGTACAAACAATTTCCCCCAACACCCAAAGGATCACTCTCCTTGCAGTACATTCTAATAACTATCACCCTTCTGCATGCATTGTCTTCACCAAAACATGGCCTGGACTCTAGACTCTTCTATTCAGAACAGTGCTATTTCAGAAGTAAAGCTGAACGACTGCTTTCATGTACTCTTTTGGGATGCCAGGTTAAGTTTTGTAGGCTCATGTCTGCATTGTAGGTCTATGGCTTTTTCTCCTGGCCAGCTTCCCTCTGAGACATGATGCTTTTTGGTCTCAGATCAGTGCTGTGGCTGTTGGGCCCTGTGTGGTAGGAACAGGAGTCAGACTCAGAAGATCATCCTGCTTGCAGTGTTTGCCTTGGGTTTGCCAAGAGAGCTTTTGAGTACAGATTTAGATGATTCCTTCACTGAATCCAGATTCTTTCCTTATTTCTCCATCCTAAAAGCTACTCATGCTGCAATGGGCTTAGTTTAATTTTTTCTCTACTCCTACCACTGGTGCTACTTTAAAAAAAAAATACAGCCAAGTGGCCACAAATGGCTGCTGGAAGACCCAGGTTAGTCATAGAATGTTAGAACTGGAACAAGCTTTAGAAGCACCTTAATCTAACACCATTTTAAAGGGGGGAATAACCCTTATATACCAGATATACTATTTTCCTTGGTTGTCCAGTTGTTTGCCATACCATGTAGCTCTGCCTTAGTCATATGCTCAAGCTATTGGGGGAGGCTCACAGCATCTTAGAGTAGGAAGGCCCCTTAGAGACTGATCTGTACCTGACCAAATAGCCTCATGGACCATATCACTTAAAGATTCTTCTAGCTCTTGCTTAGAGTTTGGCCAATGTCTGCCAGGATGCTGTACCTTGAGTATTTTTGAGAATTTTTCTCATGTAGTTGGAAATACCACCAGAAAAGAAGCAGAAAAACAAATTGGCCTGACGCTTAGTGCATTTTGAGTTAAGGGACACCCAGTAACTACGTGGAATGTACCCACTAATCAGGGACTGCAAAATCAAGGAAAGGAAAATATGGAATTGAGATTTCTCCAGACCAAGGTTCCCCAACTCCTCATCTTTGAGGTTGACTTCTCACCTCCTTTTTATTTCTTTCTAGGATTGATAATCAAATCCAAGTTTCTTTTGCTGCTATGAAAGGCATGATAATCTGTTGCCCCTGTGGCTTTACTCAGAATCCCTGTAATTCAAAGCCGTGGGCAGTCTAGGCTGAAGCTTGCTTCTGTGACTGCCACTCTCCCTTCATACCCATCAGTGTCACCTCCATCCCACCAGTGTCCCTGCCCTGCTCTTTGGGTCCCCTTGGAACTTTTCATGTTAATAAACTGTCCTTTCTGTTAGACCTGTTCTCCCCTACCCCACCCTCCCAAAAAATATTTGTACAAGTTTTCTCTTTACTTATATGTTTACTTTTTCTCCCCTATAGATTATAAGCTCCTTGAAGGCAGCAACTGTTTTATTTTGTATTTGTAGCCCAATGGCAGGCATTCAGCAGATGTTACTTAAATACTTGGGGATTGGACAGACTTGATCTGGTTATAGCACAAAGGAGGGTTTCTGTGAAAGCCACTCACTGAAAGAGCTCTACACATTTGAGCATTGAGTAAAGAATGAGTGCTGCCCCTGAGCTCCTTCCTTGTCAGGCAATGCCCTATCCCATTTGGGGGAAGGGAAAAGTAGATACTGTTACTGAAAAGATTGGAGCACCTGCCCTAGAGGGGGAGCTAAGCAGGAGAGAGCTTAGAGTCTAGAACAATGCATTGTGCCATTATCTGGCTGGCAAACTGCTTTACCACTTTCTGCTTTAGTTTCTTTATCTTTAAAATGGCTATGACAGGCTGGTTGGGAAGAGGCACCGTGATGTTACTCTGTGGTTCCATTGGTGCTTTCAGACCCAGCTAGGCCAGAGAAGAGTGCCCCTCAGTAAGGACTCCACACATTGTGGGTTTATTCAAGCTGTTTACACCTGCCTTCTGGATGGATTCTGGCCTTGTGATGTTGTAGCATGAGTTTTTTGGTATTTTGGCTAAACAGTTTATATAATCACCTTGAGCCATTTGGAAGAAGGGTGTTACCTAGATTACAAGAGAAGATGAAAAGAAGAATAATATTGTCAGTGTTGGATATAGTATTGACGTCCTGGAATGTTCTTTACCTTATTAGCTTCTTTCTTTTTTATTGGATTTACTTTGCCAGGGAGTTGCAGCCTGGAGTGAAATCAGTTCAAGTGGTACTAAGGTGAGTTCTGTGGATCTGTTGGAGTCCAGAAGACATACAAGGACAAGTGACTCTTAGGGAAATTGGGAAGGAACTTTGCAGTGACCCCAGAAAGTTCTTTTGATAAGCAGCTCTCATGCTAATGCAGTGCAGGAGAGAAAGCTGTTTGCTATCTGCAGTGTGTCTGCATCTAGCCTACTAACAACATATTACTGACTCGGCTCAGAATAGCTAGGTTTGCCTGAGCCTGTATTTCAGGGGTAGATGAAGGCCTTGGGAAGTGGGGAGCGGGTAGTGTGTGCTGGATTCTGATCTCAGAACAGAACTGGAGTCTCAGTAAGGGTGGGAGGGTATCCGTGGGGGAGTGAAGCATCACACAGTCCTTCCTTCTGTTGCAGAATCTGTTACACAGACACTAGCTGCCCCCAGGAGGATCAATACCCTCCTAACATTGCAGTAAAAGTCAACCACAGCTACTGCTCAGTCCCGGTAAGTCATCCCAGCTTCACAGTATCACTTGGTTAGTTGGGTATTTGTTAAGGAGCCAGGTCTACTGCTGGAAAGAACTGTTAATACAGATGGGCTTGAAGGGAGGGGAAGGAGTGTAGTAGATATAATGTTTAAAATTCATCATAAAACATTCTCAACTGGGTGATGGTTTGGATTTTTTAAAAAATTAACTACATTTTCTTTCCTCCTGAGCAAAATAAAGAAAATTTTCTGATTTCAGGGCTATTATCCATCAAATAAGCCCGGAGTGGAGCCAAAACGACCCTGTCGTCCCATTAATCTCACACACCTCATGTACCTATCTTCAGCAACAAACCGAATCACTGTCACCTGGGGGAATTACGGAAAGGTGAGTGATATGGCCAGTGGCAAGGTTGGACTGCCGAGGACTCCTCGTTCTACTCGCTGACTCCTTGTCTCTCTTTCCAGAGTTACTCAGTGGGTTTGTACTTAGTACGGCAGCTGACCTCATCAGAACTGCTGCAGAGGTTGAAAACTATCGGGATCAAACATCCGGAGCTCTGCAAAGCACTGGGTAAGCAGTTGAGCTCATTGCTGACAGATGACTGGGAAACGAGTGCGGCTCCCTGTGTTTGCGTTTGGTCTCCTCCCCGGGGAGGTCTGGGACATTCGTACCTCCAGAGTCAGTCTTGTTGCTGGTAGTATTGTGCCTGTGACACCAGGTAAATAAAGTGGAGAAACTTTGGACTTAGAGTCAGGAGACCTCGATTCTTTTTTGGGGGGGGTGAGGCAGTTGGGGTTAAGCGACTTACCTAGGGTCACACAGCTAGTAAGTGTTATGTGTCTGAGGCTGGATTTGAACTCAGGTCTTCCTGACTCCAGGGCCAGTGCTCTTTCCACTGTGCCACCTAGCTGCCCCCAGGAGACCTCAATTCTAGGCCTGGCTCTTGTGATCTTGGGTCAGTCTTTCTCCTCTTTGCACCTCAGTTTTCTGATTTGTAAAATGAGGGGATTGGACTATAATCTCTGTGGTTCTCAGCTCCTCCTCCACTGTCCTCTGTGAGTCTAGGAGGCTGTTCCCTTTTCCTGTTAGTTTACTGAGACCATCAGAAACAAGCAAGCCTTTCTTCTTTTGAAGCTTTTACTAATTGGAGTGAACCAAGTAGTAGCGTATAACACTTCTTGCTAACCATCTGATTGGAATTCCTTTTGGAGTTTAAGTGTGTGAACAAAATGGAAGAGCCCTGCAAATATGGTTCCTGATCTGGTGATTTTAAAATTAAAGTCAGAATTCCCACCTTCACTTCTCATGGGATTTCTTTGAAAATTCCTTTAACTAACCAAGTGGGAGGAATGTTATAAGGAAGATGAAACTTTGTTACTTTAGAATTGTGGGAAGCTTAGGTGACCTCTGAGGCTATTATAAGGTTGTGATCATTTGGACAGGGTGGAATTGAAGTTTACCTTTGTGCAAATGTGTGTGGGGGAAGCAAATTTTTTGAGGGAATAGTGTAAATGAAATTTTGTAGGGCCTAAGGGGCAGGTAGGTGGCGCAGTGGATGTAGTGGTAGACCTGAGAGTCAGGAAGACTCATCCTCCTGAGTTCAAATCTGGTCTCAGATACTTAACTAGCTGTGTGACCCTGAGCAAGTCGATTAACCCTGTTCACTTCAGTTTCCTCATCTATAAAATGAGCTGGAGAAGGAAACTGAGGCAAACAGGGTTAAGTGACCACTCCAGTATCTTTGCCAGGACAGCCACAAATGGGGTCATGAAGAGTCACACATGGCTGGAAAACTACTGAACAATGAATCTTTCCTAAAGAGAAAAATAAACCAATTAAAGGCACATCAGCAGCATCCATTTGTAAAGAGTATGCCAGTTACACATCATTTTTCATTAGAGCCAACCCTAAGGGCCTCTCTTAGCACCCATATAATTTAATATATGTACCACAAAGTAATAAAATCTCTTATCTCTTTGCTAACATTTTACATAACTCAGAGCAGCCCTCCCCATCCCCTCCACATTACTTTCCAGTTATTGAAGATTGACTCAATTTGTGATAACAGCCCAAGCTCCTTAGGGAGAAGGTACTCCACAAATAGTAGTCTCAATCACTATGATGCTAACCAGCTGTGTGACTTTAGACAAGTCACTTCTGCTCCACCTCAGTTTCCTCATTGAAGTAAAGGGTTTGGACTAAACCATAATGTCTAAAGCTTGGCAATATTTTTCCTAAAATTGTGCCTACAAAATAGTATGGCTTATGGTAAACAAACATGCCAGAACCTGTATGTCCAAATGAGAGTTGTTTCCAAGGATGCTGCAGTTTTTCAGAACTTTCTGGAAACTTACCAGAAGAGTAAATTTAGAACTTGAAATAGAAACTTAGAACTTGGCCTCAGCCGCTCAGTTCACCCAGTTGAGACAAAATCATGGATCAGAGAATTTTAAAGCCGGAAGGGATGTTAGAGGTCATTTAATTAATCCTGTCCTTTTATGACGGAAGAAACTGAGGTGAAGTGAATTGCCAGAGGTCACACAAGTAGCAAGTGTCAGAGCCAGGTTTAAAACCAGGGTCTCTTAATACCAGGACTGGCACTTCTTTAGGATACCTTGCTGCCTTTTTGGTTTTTTTTTTTTTGGTTTGTTTTATTTTTAGGCAGTTGGGGTTAAGTGACTTGCCCAGGGTCACACAGCTAGTAAGTGTCAAGTGTTTGGTCTGAGCCCGGATTTGAACTCAGGTCCTTCTGACTTCAGGGCTGGTGGTCTATCCACTGTGCCACAAAGCTGCCGCTCCTTTTGGTTTTTTTAACAGATGCAGAAATTGAAAGACCTCCCTGAAAGCAGGGTCTATGTCTCCTTTCTGTGCAAGCCAAGTACGTGGCCTAGGGTCTTGCATATAGGTGCTTAATGTTTATTTTTTGAATGAAGAGAAAGAAGTTGAGTCACCAAGGAGCACACAAGTAGTGATGGACCTAAGACTAGAACCCACATCTCTTGGCTCCTAGTAAAGTATTCTTTCAGTTTCCAAACAAGGCTGAGAGTTGCAGCGATAAATTCAAGTTAGCAGGCCTTTGAACAGATTCGAAGGCAGGCAAGTACCAAACCCTCTCATGTCATTAAGGGTCAGTACTGTCATTGAAGACTTCATAGGGTGGAAATTCTATAGCCTCCTCTAAAAAGTTTCCATCAGCCCACAGGATGTCTCCTAAGCTAAACTATACTCATTTAGAACATTATACCTAAAACTAAGTTGTCAGCCCAACCTCCTAATGATCTAGATCTCAGAGGGGGCAGTGACACTCCATATTTGTCTCTCGCCTGCTTGTTTGCTCCCTCCCTTTCCTCCTCGAAGCATTGACCGTTTCTGTCTCAAGACCTGCTCCCACAAGCCCATGTTGTGGTGACTCAGGCACTGGTGTGAGTTCCTCAACATGAGGGAGATTAATCTGTGTACTAGACGCAGGTTTGGTGGGGCCTTTGCAGTTGGTTTCACATTTAAAAAGGCCTAAAGGGGGAAATAATTTCCCTGGCCTTGAGCATTGTGTGACAAGCAGGTGGCACAGATTGCTTGCTCTGTGAAATCTGCTGTAGCAGTTGTAGGGCTTGAGGAAAGATGAAACCCATGGCTCCTTGAAGAACAGGAGGCAGCATGATATGTAGGGGGAGGATTGCTGCTTGATAGTGATAGCCCTGGAGTTCTAGCTCTACCAGCTAATTGTGGGACCTTGCACAAGTTATTCCATCTCTGTGAGCCTCAATTTCTTCATCTTCAACATGAAGAGTTTGGACAGGATAATCTTCAAGATCCTTTCCAGCTTTAACGTGTTATCTCCATAAGCTCTTCCTGATCTTCCTTTTGTGGGACAAAAGCCCACCTCTCCAATCCACCTTGTTGACAGCAAAGAAAGGAAGTGGCTGCCACCCAGATCAGGCTTGTTTCTGGCCAATTAGCATTGGCCAGGAGAGTTAGGAGATGCCACTTAACCTGTCCTGTGGGACAGAAGGTAGGGTGGGTTGGGTTCATTGACTCTGTAGTGACAAATGAACTGACGAGTTAGCTTGCCATACCCTAGAAAGAAGACTGACTTTAGAGTAAGGGGGTGTGGGTCTGAACCCCACTTCTTCTGTTACTACCTGTATGGTCTGGGACAATTCACCTCACCTCTTAGAGCCTCTGTTTCCTTAACTGTGTTGGGCTTTAGTGACCTTTGAGGGCCCTTCTAGCTCTAAATCTGTGGGTATACGAATGAGGAAGGTCCTTCTTGGGACCAGTACTGCGTCTTAAGTTGTAGTAACTGTTATCTAGTGATTTAAGGTTTATAAAGGTGTAACAGCTTACAGCATATGCTATGTTACTTACTAGACTGAAGAAGTTTAGGGCTCTGGACCATTACAGTTTTTCCTAAACCATGTAGCCTGGCCAGTCTGATTAATTTCCTTCCACAGATCTAATCGAATTCTAGTGTTGTTCCACACTAGCAATCAGTATTTTTTTTTCCCTTTGGTAAAACAGGAATTCTCTGCTCACAGTTAGAGTGGCTGCAATTTTCTTATCTGTAAAAATGAGGGAATTGGACTAGGTGATCCCTAGCATCATTTCCAACTCTAAAACCTATGACATGTACTTCTTTATCTGTCTTTTGTCTTCAGCCACAGTCTTACATTGGGTGAGCTCAGAGTTTCCTAGAAAAGGGTATGCCTTCTAAAATACTTATCCCATCTATATCCTCATTATTTACCATTCTTTCAATTTCCAGAGAGCTTTTCATTCCACAGTGAAATATCATCCTGAAAATGCAAATATTCCAGGGTTACATCACAAGACTTGACTTAAATCTCAGTGTAAATTTACATCAAAGCCCTTCCTAAGAACTGGTTTTGCCAGGGGAATAGAAGACACTGTTAAAATAGGTAAGGACACTAAGTGTCTGAGGAAGGCAGAGGGAGAAAAGGAGAAGGCAATAGTTTTCCCAGAGACCCAGCCTGGATCTGGCCACGGTATAGTGGACTCCTGGCTGAAGCCTAGCAAGTATTTAGAGAAAAATCTGAACTAGGAGGAATGTTATAGAGCACACTTCACCCAGTACAGAAATCTCTTCTGTAGTATCCCTAGCAGGTAAACAGTTACAAAGACAGGTAGCTCATTACTCATCAAACACAGTCCTGTTGTTGGACAGTTTTGCTTGTTAGAAAGTTCTTTATACAGAGACACTTTTTTTTTCCAAGCTAAATTTTTTTTTCACAACAATCCACTTTGTCTCCATTTCCCCTGTTCTTTCCTCCTTCCCTCTGTATTGAGAAAGCAAGAAAAAGAAAGCCACAGTTACAAATATGTATAGTCATGGGAAACCCTACATTGGCCATGTCCAGAAATATCTGTCTCAGTCTGCACTCAGTCCATCATCTCTCTATCTGGAGGTAGGTAGCATGTCTCGTCATAAGCTCACTGGAATTATTGGTCATTGGGTTGATCATAGTTCCTAAGTCTTTCAAAGGTGTTTACAATGTTGTTATTATCGTATAGGTTGTCTTCCATGTTCTGTCTACTTCACCGTGCCATCAGTTCATACAAGTCTTTCCAGATTTCTCTGAAACTATCCCTTTTATTATTTCTTAAAACACAGTGGCATTCCATCATATTCATTCACCATGACTCATTCAGTCATTCCCCAATTGATGGGCACCCCTTCAATTTCTAGTTCTTTGTCCCTGCAAAAATAGCTACTATAAATATTTTCGTAGATATGGGTTCCCTTCCTCTTTCTTTGATCTCTTTGAGGTATAGACCTACATAGTTTAATAGTTTGGGGGGGTCATGGTTCCAAATTGCTTTTCAGAATGGTTGAACCAGTTTACAGCTTCACCAGTAGTGCATTAATATACCTGTTTGTCCACAGTCCCTCTAGCATTTGTCATTTCCCTTTTTTGTCGGCTTTGATCATCTGAAGGGTGTGAGGTGGAAACTCAGAGTTGTTCAAACTTGGATTTCACTAATTAGTGATGTAGAGTATTTTTTTGTGTATCTGTTGATAGCTTGGATTTCTTCTTCTGCCTATTCGTTTCCTTTGGCCAACTGGGGAATAGTTCTTATTCTTATATTTGAATCCGTTCCCTATATAGTTTAGAAATTAGACCTCTATCAGAGAAACTTGCTGCAAAGATTTTCCCCCCATTCATCTCTTTTCTAATTTTAGCTGCATTGGTTTTGTTTTTGCAAAAACTTTTAAATTTTATGTAAATTACCATTTTACCTTCTGTAATACATTTTTTATCTTTTGTTTTGTTATGAACTCCTCCCCTATCCAGAGATCTGACAGGTAATTTCTTCCTTACTTCCTTGCTCATCTCCTTACTCCTCTAAGTGATTTATGATGTCTCTATGTCTAAGTTATATACCCATTTTGAGCACATCTTGGCATACCATGTGAGATTGGGTCTATACCTAGTTTCTGCCAGACAGCTTTCCAGTTTTCCTAAAAGTTTTTGTCATTTAGTGAGCCCTTGCCTCAGTAGCTGAGATCTTTGGATTTATCAAACACTAAAGCTACTGTACTTGTTTGCTTCTCTATACCTAATCTGTTCTATTCACAACCACAGAAGCACATTTGGAGTCACTTCCCTCCCTCCATCCTCTGAGATGGTACCCTTTAACTCAGTTCTTTCTTTCATATTGCAACCCTTTAGACAGTGATCATTTCTTCTTCAGATTCATCTCTTTTTGTCAGTCTTTCTTATATTGAATTTTCTCTCATTCAGGAGTCTCAGAATTAGCTTTCCCTCTATAATTGTGGGGGGGGGTTTGTTGGGGTTTTTTTTTTTTTAGGCAATGGGGGTTAAGTGACTTGCCCAGGGTCACACAACTAGCTAGTAAGTGTCTAAGGCTAAATTTGAACTCAGGTCCTCCTGACTGCAGGGCCAGTGCTTAATCCACTATAATTAATCTTTGTGTAATCAACTTCTTAGTTTTTGGGGCAGCATAAGATGGTATGGCATTCCTCTGTTAGCTAAATTTAATACGCCTTCTACCAAGGTGGTATAATGGAAGGAGCATTGACCTTGGAATCAGAAGACCTAGGGTTCATACCTTGATTCTGTGAAACAACAATAGTAACAACTCAAAAGCATTTCTATAACATCCTTACGTGTGTTACAGATGAGAAAATTGATACTGAGAGGTTCAGTTATTTGTCCTAGGTTATACAGCTGGTAAATGCCCCCAGATTTGAACTCTGGTATTTCTGTCTCCAGGCTCAGCACTCTCAGCCAAATCTTTAAATTGGGGATAATAACACTTGTACCACCCACCTCACCCTGGTGTTTGAAAGGATCCAACAGGATGATGTAGGGAGAATCCTAGATAATAGAGCCACAGTTCACCCAGGCTCAGAGGTACATTCCAGCCCGGTGGCTTACAAGGTCCCCTTGACCTTGCTAGGGTTTCTGCAAATTATGCAAATAGAGGCCTCACTGAGCACTGGAATGTTGGAAGTGGGAGGAGTCATGACCCCAAGCTGCCATCCAGTGGACAGACTCTCAGCAACCCTGGGGTTTTTATTTTGTTTTGTTTTTCAAAATAACTGTAGTTACTGTATATGTCAACAGTAGTTTACATTTGTATATACTCTTATATGATTCCCATAACAGCTCTGTGGCCCAGATAGCTCAAGTAATAGTGTTTTCACTGTACAGCTGAGGAAGGTGAGATTGTGACCTGCCAGATACCACACAGCTGATAAGTGAGGGAACAGGGTTTTGAACTCAGGATTCTGACTCTCGCTGCATGGTACTGAAGTGTCAGGCTGTATAAATTGAGGTGTGTTTATTATTAAAATATACTTAGTACATAAGTCTAAAACTGTAAAATAAAGGTAATTGGTTATCTTACTGTTAGCGTCTTATGCAAGTAATACTAATGATGATTTTTAAACATTGATGCTTTTGTCTGGTTGTCTTGTGACAGTCAGAGAGAGGAATTTAAATAGCAGTGTGCTCTGATAGGAGCTTTAGCTTTCTTTTATCATCTAGCATTGGTGAGCAAACACTTCAAGACCCCACTCTCTTCTCCTTCATCAAACCTTCTGCTGGAATTTTCCCCAGGTCATCTCTCCCTCTACCATCCTCTTCCTTAAGGGGTGTCAGAAAACAGTGGCAAAGCTGGCAGTCATTCATTCAGCTCGAAGGGAAAACTGAGTTATCAGTTCCCAAAGCTCAGTGAATAGACTTTTCTGAGGTAAAAGTGTCCGAAGCATGATTGGATACCTTCCTTATTGTCTCTGCCTTTAAGAAACTTAGTGTCTTGTTTGCTTGTATGTCTCCCTTAACATGAAGTACAGTGGGTTGCACATGGTAGAGGCTTAATAATGAATGAATTGTAACCCAGCTTTTAGAATGCCTCCAGAAATATACAGAATTTACATAGAATCGGTAAATTCATAAGTAGGTGTTAGCTTGTTCTCCAACAGATAAAGGTTTTGAAAGAGAAAACAAAAATTATAGATAATCAATTGAAAAATTGTTGAAACTCAGAGAAATGCAAAATGAAATATCCTTGAAAGTATGGCATATCAATCTGGAATTATACAATGAATTACAATATTAATCATAACCTTTGACCCAGCAATCTTGTTATTATATCCTAAAGATATTATTGAGAGGAGGGAGGGGGGAACTATCCATAAAAATATTCATAACTGCTTTTCTGTATAATGGTAAAATACTATAAACTTCCCATGTGTCCAACAGTGAACAAATTGTTAATGTGAAAGGCATGTAATTGCAGTGTTAAAAATGACCATGTAAGAAATGAAATATGAAAAGACTTGCATTGTGTCACAAAGTTAAAAGAGCAGAATTAGAAGAAATAAACACATTTACTACTATTAAAAACAACATTAGGAGGGAATACCGAGTAAAGGGTGGTTGGTTGTTTGGGGAGTTTTTTTTCTATTGAAGTCTTTATTTTTCAGGAAAATTTTTCATGCGTGTGGTTTTTCTTAGGTATATAATTCAGACCAGTTATCCAAACTATCTGTATTCTTCATGATTTTAAATCTTTTTTTTTTTTGCCTAACTTCAGTAATTGCCTTAATTCTCTTCACTTTTTTTGTGTATGCACATTGAAGGTCTTGTTGCCACACAAATAATAAAAATGTTTTAAAAGAGTGCTTCTAGAAAATGATTATTTTTTTTTTGGCTAGGCAGTGGGGTTAAGTGACTTGCCCAGGGTCACACGGCTAGTAAGTGTTATATGTCTGAGGCTGGATTTGAACTCAGGTCCTCCTGAATCCAGGGCCAGTACTGTATACACAGCACTACCTAGCTGCCCCTAGAAAATGATTTTCTTTTCAGTCTAAGTTTCCAGGCTTTGTAGGCGTGTTAGATTTTGACAGTACCCCAGCTTCCAAATGACTGAGGTATTTTCCTTTCCATATATCCCTTCTTTTCTTCCTACCTTCCACAAAGGTGGGACATCAGAGGCTAAAAGAAAGCTTACATTCACTTCCTCTCCTTAGGTGTTGTCATATACTCCAGGCCTGTTGTGTGTTCTACTAATAATAGAGTTTTTAAAATTCTCATTTCTACTTAATTCTTCTTAGAGATCACCACTTGTGAGATCTGAGCTACCCACTGGGCACACTTGTGCCTGGGTATCTCTTAAGGTCCAATACAACTCGAGAGACCAACAGAAGCCATTCTGAGACTTGCCTGAGTCTCACCTGACCTACCAGGTGTGATGGCGCCATGGACTCTGTGAAGATCTGTTTATCAGCAGCCCTTTTCTCCCTCCTTCCCCACCCCCCTGTTTTTGCAGTTTCCAGTCAGGCCATGTACACAGCTGGCCAGTAGCCTAGTCCTGAACTTTGAGACAGAAATGTGAACCTCTTTGACAGTATTCTTTCTTGGGTGCTGTGTCTTATCTGGAGGTAGTAGGCAGGGGTTGAAGTGGGGGAGTGGGCCTGTTGGAGAGCAGACTGGTGGGGAGAGGTTAGGAAGTTCTCCCCTCTCCTTCCCCTACTTCCCCCCAAAGGGGCTAGAGAAGCTGGCTACCCACAATTCTCCTTAATTTGCGTCTTCCCTATTTTAAGACTTCTAATGAGGGGGCATATGGAGATCATAAGCTAGGGGCATCACATTCTGCTCAGCTCATTTCATTTCCTAGAGTGGGCAAAAGGGGTTAGTGCCTACCGTTTCAACCTTTGTTGGCCTTCTTTTGTCTCTTCAGTCAAAGAGAAGTTGCGTCTTGATCCTGACAGTGAAATTGCCACCACAGGTGTCCGAGTGTCTCTCATCTGTCCGGTAAGTCAGAGCAAACCCTTGTGCTGCTCTTGGCTGGGGAGTCCAGTTTTCCCACCCTAGAGTAAAGGAGGAGAGTCTCCTAGCCTTTAGGCCTTCTCTCAGGATATACCTGTCTCTTTTGGGAGAGGCAGGTAAATTTCTAGCAGCCATTCCTGGATTTGTCTCATAGCCTCAGTGCTGCTCTCCTCATTCTCAGTTATTTGACTGACCCATCGGAATTGATCAAGTGTGAGACACTCTAGGGATTACAAGAGAAGACCTGGACCCTGCCCTCAAAGAACTTACAGTGTAGCTGGGGGGGAGATGGGGAGGGGGGGGTTGGAGACAACATATGAAAGAAACAACTAGTAATAATTCAAGACTGTGCAGTCCAGTGTGAGTAAGACTAGTTAGGAGAGTTAGGTTTAGTGTTCAGAGGATTGGAAGCATTGGGGAAGAGGCAGGACTGAAGTTAGATTTGCCTTCCCTTGAATATTGCGCTGGACGTGTGTATGCTTTAGAGCTCCACTGTGGCAGGAAAGGACTGGGCTGCTAGCCTAGTTATCTCTCTCCTAACTGCTCACTCATTTTGGGTGTCCCCATGTCGGGCCTATAGCTAGTAAAGATGCGACTCTCCATGCCTTGCCGGGCTGAGACCTGTGCCCACCTGCAGTGCTTCGATGCAGTATTCTACCTCCAGATGAATGAGAAGAAACCTACCTGGATGTGTCCTGTGTGTGACAAACCAGCCCCCTATGACCAGCTGATAATAGATGGGTGAGTTTGCTTAGTGGGGTGCTGATGGCATCATCACTTTGGGATTTTTTGTATTCATACTACTACCCTTGGTAAAGTACCTTCAATTTTACACTTTAACTATCCTTGTTGGTTCTAAATGTGAAAGGATGTGTCAGGACCAGTTATTTCTTCTTTCTTCTTACCTATGTCATTAATATTTTAATAGAGCTGACCTTACCCCAGCCTTATAATTATTGTGGTGGGAATACATTATTCAGGAGTCTAAGGACATAGGTTTGAATCCTTTGTTTGATACCAACCTTAACTGATGTTAGACAAGTTGTTTCCCATCTGTAGGTCCCAGCTTCCTACTGCATTAAGTAAAAGCTAAATTAGATGATTGATCACTAAGGTTTCTGCTAAATTCTGTGACTAGCTTTCACTATGGCATTATAAGGGAAGACATGGTCTATGGTTTACAAACATAAGCTATAGTTCAGTTCAGTTTTAGAAACATTTGTTAAGCACCTAATATGTGCAAGGTCATAAAGATACAAAGAGAAAAGTGAAGTATTCCCTGTCCTCAAAGGGGGGAATGACATGTACGCAGACAAGTGAACAGAGAGAGAGAGAGGAGAGAGAGTGAGTGAGTGAGTGTGTGTGTGTGTGTGTGTGTGTGTGTGTGTGTGTGTGTAAATTTCAAAAGGGAATCAAGAAAGGAAGGTGTAGAAGGTAGTATGACAGCCAGACTTCTAAAGAAGTAAGAGGCCTCTTAGAATATGAAGGATGAAGAAGTACATTCCAGACATGGAAGATCACACATGCATTCAAGGGCCTAGTGGTAGAAGATAGAAACTTGCATATGGGAAGTCATCAGGCAAGCCAGCTTGACTTGGAGCTATATGTAAAGGAGACCACTGTGAGATCAGTAGCTTGATTATGTTAGGCTTTAAATGTCATGCTGAGGATTTTGTATTTGGCCCTTTTTAAAGCAACAGATAGAGAGATCCTATAGCTGCTTGAGCGGGGAATGACATGGTCAGATGTACACTTTAGGAAGATTCTTTGATAGTTCTATGAAGGGTTGATCAGAGATGGGGGAGACAGGAAGCAGATAAATTGAGGATAGTATTGTATTAATTTAGGCAAGAGGTGAAGTCCTGAACTTCAGAGTACTGTATGGGAGTATAGAGAAGGGTATAGATGTAGAAGATGTTGAGATAGAGTCATAAAGACTTAGCAGTTGATTAAGTGTGTATGATGGGGGTGGGGTTGAGAGGAAGAGAGGAACTTGGGTAAAGAGAAGGATGGTGGTACCTTCAGCCAAAATAGGGAAATTAAGAGGAGGTGGAGGCTTGGCAAGGGAGTAGCAATTTCTTTTTTGAATATGTTGAGTTTGAAACTACCTGCAGGGCATCCATCCAGGTAGAGATTTCCACTAGTCACTTGTTAATTTGGGACTAGACCTTGGGAAAGTAATTAGGACTTGATATAAGATTTAGGAGTCCCCTGCACTAGGGATGATGAATGAGTCCATGGGCTGTGATGATATTATCGGTAGACCGAGTGGAAAGGGAGGAAATAAACCCCAGAGTCTGTCTCTAGGGCATTCCTTTGTTCAGGGGCTGAATGGATGGTTACTGACCTAGTACAGAACATGTAGGAGAGGAGAGGTCAGGCAAATGGGAGGGGAAGCAAAGGAGAGCATGTTATTCAAGCATGGGGAGGGGGGGGTTAGGGGGGAAGAGGGAGGTAGGGAGCAAAGGCAAGAAAGCATCCAGGAAGGGACATTGATTTGACAGTGGCCAAAACTAGAGAGGTCAGATAGGGATGAGGCCTGAAGAAAGACCATCAGATTTACCAGTGTAAAAACCTTGGAAACAAAGCCTAGTTTTTGTCACAAGCTGTTGTCAGAAGTCGTGTTGCATGGGTTTGAGAAAGAATGGGGAGAAGGAGCTGAAGGCAGCCAGTGTAGTTCACTAAATGTCGGACTTTCAGCGAAAAGAGGGAGGAAGAGCTGGAGAGACTGATAATTTGAGGGACTGATAGGGTTAGGAGAAAGTATTTTCCTTTTGTCTATTTTCAGATCTACATTCTCTTCCTCCCACCTCCTCCCCCCCTCCCTTTGAGAAAACAAGAAAAACAAACCCCTGTTATGAGCATTTACAGTCAAACAAAACACATTCCTACGTTGGCCATGGTCCGCCCCCAGATAGGTCTCAGTCTGCATTCTGAGTCCATCACCTCTCTGATTGGGAGTGGGTAGCATATTCCATCCCGAGTCCTCTGGAGCTGAGGTTAGTTCTTGTGTTGTTCAGAGTTCCTGAGTCTTTCAGAGTTGTTGTAGTAGTTGTTGTATACACTGCTGTCCTGGTCCTGCTCACCTCACGTTGTATCAGTTCGTACAGGTAGGCAAAGGTATTTTTAAGGCTGAGGGAAACCCGGTCACGTTTTTAGGTAGTAGGGCAAGAGCTGATGGCTACAGAGTGATTGAAGATGGAAGAGAGGGGATAGGCCCAAGAGCACAAATAAAGGGGTTGGCCTTAGTTAGGAGACAGCCTCACTTCTGCACTTCTGTGGAGAGGCGTGATAGGCAGTACCCACCACGATAGATATAAAACTGTCTATAACCAAGGGGCAGATTTTGTACAGTCATAACGAGGGATAGACAAAGCTGGCAGCTGCATGGGGTTTAACACCTTTTTCTGTGGTAGGAAGGCACGGTGGGGGGAGGGACATTTTTCATGTGACTCTCTAAAAACACATTTATTTATTGCCTGAGAATTTTGTTCTTCGTGGCTTGATATGTTGATGTTTTGTTGGTAAATTGTGTGACAGTAAACACTCAAAGCCTCTGGGCAGAAATGGTAATGATCTGTATATCCATATCACCATAAGGTTTATAAAATACCTTAGAACGATTCTGTGAGGTGGCTGGGTCAGGGATTATCCCTTTTGCAGATGAGGAAACTGAGATTGAAGGAGATGATGGGATATTTCTGTGGTCACATAGTTACTGAGGTTATGTACAAAGTGGCATGATTTCCCTTCCTTGTCTTGGGGACACGTGTGCTTCCTTCTGTATATAATGTGGAATGTATAATAAGTTTGAATATAAGCTTTGAGAGAAAGGGGAGTCTTCATAGAAGTAGAGGGCATTCAGGGCAGGAACCCAGCATGAGCCAAAGCAGAGAAATAGGAAAACTGTGGTGACATTCTGTCTTTGATTCTTGGGGAAGAATGTGACCGTGGGCCTGGCTTATGCTAGTGTTGAAGACTAGAATGATCAAAGTATGTCCCACATTGGGGAGATACTGGGAGAAAAGATTTGCTGTGTAGGTCATAATTATGAAGGTCCTTTAAATGAATTTACACAGTGACTTAAGATCTACTGAACTTTTTTACACAGTAACTCTGCTAATATCATTATCCTCATTTTACAGGTGAGGAAACTGAGGCTCAGAGAATAAGTAACTAAAACATCTTAAAATTATGAGCTGGAAGGCTCTTTAGAAATCCTAGAGTTCAGCCTCTTCACTTTAGAAATGAGGAAGCTGAGGCCTGGAGAGGGAAGGTGACTTGCCCCAGTTAACTCAAGGAGCCAGAACGGAGGTGGGGCTTGAACGCAGGTCTCATGACTCTTTCAGCTGTTCCTATGTGCCAGATGCACAGAAGCACTCACTAGAGAGAAGGGACGGAAGGCAGGCACTCAGTCAAGCGGAAGAGAGCCAGGTATCACAGGGCATACTTGCCATCTCTGTTACTGGTCGGTAGATTGCTTGTGCTCAGGAGTTCTGAGCTGCCTCAGAGAGAAGAAACTGGAGCAGGTCAGAACTCCTGTGCTACTCAGTACCTGGATTCAGTCCTAGGTGCAGCTTCTGTATTTCTCTCTTGGGTGTGATAGGGAGACCATCTCAAAGAAACAAAAATTGTGAGCCCTGGTACATAAAACTAAACTATATGATGAAATGCTGGCTGGTAGGGTATACAGGCTGTAAGTGATACAAGGGCCCAAGATGGGAGGGGGAGATAACTGCATGGAATGGAGCGATCAGGCCAAGCTTCATAGAAGAGATGAGCCTTAATCTGAGTCTTGAAGGCTAGGCAGAGTTTGGGTGGAGAATGGGGGACGGAACACCCTAACTAGAACTGTGAGGATCGGAATGAACCTGACCTGTGTGAGGACCAGTGCTTAGACATGGCTAGTGTTGCCAGCAGACCAGATGAGATGGTTCTTAGAATCAAGGAGATGGTGATTGATCTTCCAGGCCACCTTTTTCTTTCTGGGGCAGCTGCCATATTACCCTTGACTGTTGGCTGTTTAAAGAATGCCAGGCTTCCTCTCTGCTGTGGCCTTCGCTGAGGCCAGAGTTTTGGGCTGGAAGTTAGAAGACCAGGGTTCTGATCTTGTATCACTCTCTGTATGACCCAGAGGCATGTAAGACAATGGAATCTGCATCCAACAGACATTCTCCACAAATTGGAATCTCCACAGATTCATCTTCTAAGCAGATGAAAAAAAGAGCCGGGCTTGTGGTAGAATTCAGACTCGGTGTGGTGTGACATGGCAGCTAAAAAGCTCATGTGATTTAAGCCACATTGATAGAAGCCCAATGTCAAGTGAAGGAGACATGATTAAAAAGCATCGTTTATCTCTGAGTGCTGTATTTTAAGGCTATGTTGACCAGCTGGACTGCATCCATGGGAAGGTGGACTTGAAATTAGGCAAGGAACTGGGATTGCCTAGTCTAGAGATGAAGACATCGAGTGGGCATAGTAGTTTTTTTCAAGTATTTGAGGGGCTATTAAGTACAAAGAAGAATCACCTTATTCTGCTGGTCTCATAAGTAAGAAATAGGAGCAGTGGACAGAGATTGCAGTTTTTCTCCCATTCTTAAGTGAAACCACAGCTGTTGAAAAGTAGAATCAGCCAATCAGCAAGCCCCTGCTGTGTGTCAGGCACCATATGTAGATACAGATACAAAGAGTGAAATGGTAGCTGCTTGTGAAGGGCATATATCCAAATAGATATGTAAAAA